AAAAGTAAATCAGTACCGAAAATCGAATATCGATCAATACCGGAAATCAGTGTCAGAAGATTGTCCAAGTGCAATGACAATTCGTTTTCATTCCCGAGTGTTTTCCGAGTCGAAATATTAATTCTACATTGATCCTGCAAATTGCATTCAATTTGAAAAATCAATGCAGAATATCTAGATGCGCAATAGTGAACAAGCTTTGTCCTACCTGAACGTTACATCTGGCTACTCTCGCAGTCTCGCCCATGATGAGTCTTCAACAGCGACCGCAGTATTCCGCAGTTATTTAATACTCGTTTATCTCGATAATGTATATGTACTTAATCCTTATATTCTTAGTTTAAATGAGCGATTTTTGTTGATGTTGATTATATATTCGCTTAACAGCGCAAGAAAAAGAACAAAGATAAAAACGTAAATAGAACTGCCTTTGTTAGAACTGCGCGTGAGATAAATATATAAGGATTAAATAATCATATAAGAATTAGAGGAAATGGGGAGATAAAAAACACTTTTAATTCTCATCATTCTTAAAGTTCTTTTTTCCTTTTTTCTTCTCTTTTTTTTCTTTTCTTTTTTCTAATGAGAATGATGAGAATTGTAGCTCTCAAAAGAGCTGAAGCTGCAAAAAGACAATGGTTATGTCTAATAATGCTGTTTCACTAATAGAGATTTTAATTCACATTCGGTACAATAAGAAAGATAAACAAGTATGAGGAACGGATATTCTAACAGATTCTAAACGAAAACAGCAATCTGAGCATTATTAGACGAATCAAAATCAACACTTGTAAAATTTATATCAGATTCTAAGATCATTATTCATAGTTTTGTAAATTATGTGCAATTTTTCATTGAGAACATAATTACAAATTTGTATTGATAAACCTTGCTTCAGCAACCTTGCTTGAATAGATATTCATATTTTATGTGAAAAGAAAAGTAGAACTCATGTTACGTGAAATTAGGTTAATCGGAGGAATAATCAAATCTCAAGCTATTTTATCATTTTTCAAAATATAAACTATGAATGCTGATCTAATTTCGACTCGGGTATGTCCTTACTTCGAGTAAGGTCCGTTAAAATCAGAAAAATAATAATGCGTAATAATAGTAACTCAAGATACCTCGAATACCATACATGATATATCGCTATCCTCGGCTACGTCTCTCGGCGCGCTCCAAGTCCTCTCTCCATCCTGACTTCTCAATCCGACGTCCTCCTTCTGGTCCTCCGTCGCAGCACCCCCGGATACTCCATCGTAGCACTGGAGACGACACTGACTCTAGTTCTAACACTCGCGGAAGTAAGATTCGGGGATAAAGAAACGCGTATTAACCGCGATACGACTACCGACACTCGTACTGCGTCGCGGTATGCGCATCGTTCGTCGGCCCGAGGAGCAATGTCCTTTCCGCAATCACGGAGTCATACATAAACGTACGAAAACAAACTATCGGGTAGGCACGGTTACCCCCCACCAGTCGCTGACCTTGCTGATCAGTGTTGATGCCTGCGTCGTCCGTTAGCTGAAAATGAAAACAACTCGTGTTTTCAAAGCATGCCTGTGAGAGACTCGCTTCAAACTTCACAATACTTATTTACGTCTGTTCCAAGAATCATATTACGCCGAATTCAAACTGTCTCTATTGACATGACATACACGAGATCTGCGATCGCATTCTTGATCTTTCTTTGGACAAGAAAATCCTGAGAGGAACGATGTTCGAGAATATCGCATTTTATGTTTCAGGTGCCTTGCAGATTATCGAATCCGATGTAACAGATCAGGGAAAGTATGAATGCGTCGTTATGAATAACACCGTGGGCACGGAGTATACGGTTATACGTGAAACGTATGTATATTTAATATTATATAAAACATACCTTTTTAAACAATAAGGTAAAAAAAAGGCGCCAAGTACAAATGCAACACGTATTGTGTTATTTTTAGAAGTATTAAACTCAAATTATTTTTTTTATTGTATATATGTGTACATAAGTTTTTACAAGTAAAACTTATAACTATAATAAAACTCTGCAACACTTTTCTACTGTACAAAAGAAGTAATATATTAAAACAGTAGCGCCAACTGAGAAACCTAACATATATATATGATTATTGTATACTTAACTTAATATTTTTAGAAATTTCAAATTCAAATTATTGTCTTTTTTAAGATATATATTATGTACATAACATAAGTTTTTATAATATATGTACATAAACTTTTAAAAGTAAAAATTATATCGTGTTATAAAAATTCAACACGTTTGTTAATAGTGTCCAATATTTAAAAAAATATATCTTTTTAAAGGTTATGTTATTCAAAATATTCAAGTAAACCTAGTTACAAAAAATGTCCATAACATAAAGTTTTACAAGTAAAATTTATCATTATTTATTAGAACACTGAGTTATATGATTATTTTACTTGTTATTGTAACAAATTAATTATTATAACAATGCAATAAAAAATATTTGATACAAAAAATCTTGGCGCGGCTGCACCAAAAACTATATCAAACTAAAACTTGTTTAATACATATATGACAGCATTTTTATTATAATATATCCTATAATGAAGGTTTATAATTTATTTATTATAATACTATATAAACTTAAATAAAACATTATACCGTATATGTATAAAGAGAATTTACAAGAACATTTTATTATAATAAAAATGCTATCATGTATGTATTAATCAAGTTTAGTTCGATATAGTTTTTTAAAGTCAAATTAGATATCATTAACATTTCGTCAATTATAATAAGAATAACATCTTTGAATAAAAAAATATCAAAATATGTAGAATATATATACATTCGATATGTATATTCTATAGTGAAGGTTTATCATTTATTATAATACTATATAAACTTGAATAAAACATTACACTGCATATATATAGAGAGAATTTACAAGTACATTTTATTATAATTACATAATATTATAATTATAATTTATTATTATTATATATACGAGAGTAATTGCAGATTCATAAAGTGTCTATGATTATTAGTCGGATGATGACGGATCGTGAATGCCGAGCGCGAAATTCCGACTTCTTATTCCCGGAAAATTCGTCAAACGTCAAACGAAGGGCAAAAAGTGTCATCGCTCGCGAGCCGATCAACACAATCGGCGTGATGTAAACATTGTGGGCCTCGGCGGCGGTTGAAGCAAGAGAGACTTGCCCTTGGGCATCTTTTCTTTTCTCGAAGGTTCCGGGACAACGAGGGGAATGCGAGGAGGCCTTCCAACTGTACACGACATTGATTTACTACCTATTGATTACTGGAAATAAAGAAAATTATTCTGTCGAAGCATCGGATATTTGTTAGCTTTATATTAATTAAAGAGGAATGTGTACGATTAGAAAATGTATTAGCAACAAATTGTACAGAAGTGTCAAAGTTGTTGTGACGCCGTTTTCGGAGAATAATTAAAGGTCATGGTAGCGTTAAAGAGTGGAATTTCATCCCATGCGAATTTTGTCTCGTTCTTATTAAAAATTAGATTATCCGCTGCGGACAATAACTCTTCTACTTTTCATCTAATATCCAATGATGATAAATAACATTTAATTGCATATTCGTTTGGCTTTTTTTATTTCGAAAAAAAAATATATACCAGGGTGAGATTTCACCCATGACAACATCAACGTGATTTTCTTTGATGCTTTTTTTAAAAGTTCAGATATTTCGTCGACTCGCGGGATATTTATAATCGGAGTCTTATCGCGTTAATTAACACGAGCTCTGCAAAACGGGTCCTCACCAGCCTCGTCACCGGCCGCGGAGTCGGTCAGCTATGAACCGGCTGCTTGTCGTCGCCGTCATCGTCCAGTTGTAGAAAAAAAATAGCTTCGTTCATGATCAATATGTTAACGCAAGAGCGAAGTAAAACACAAGTAGTGGCGGCTTGTCCTTCTTCTTCTTCTTCTTGCACGTTGGCAACTGTCGTTAGATGATGTGGGCCGCGCTTGGCTCGAGCGGCTTTATTGCTTTTTCGATACCATCTATACGCGTGCTCGTTCGATTGTTGCGAATATCGCAAAATGGTATGGGAATTTTATATTTATCTTAATCCGTTCTATGTCTTCATGGATTCTCGGAGCGAGGGATTTGTGAAACGCTCTGTTTATGTGTTTCGGATTACAATTTTAGTATTATCTCAACTTCGAATTATTAACTTAAGAAATACCAACGTGTGTATATATTTATAAAATGAAAATTATTCTAAATTTTCTCATGTCTCGCAATCCTAAGAGACATACACACATACATATTCGGTCTATTTTCTGTATTAATAGTTTTTAATATCTTCCGATACCTTTTTCCCATTATTCCAAATCTGTTACCATCCATGCTTATTTCGAGCTACGTTTCATATTTTGGCCACGATATTCCTAAGAGGGCGCTAGTATACAGCGAAATTTGTCTGGTACACTGAATTCCGTAAGGCCAACAATCTTGATATCTCGTCGGTGCTCGTGCTTAAACACAATATAGGTGATGTAACATTGCGTGATAGATTCATCATTATGATAAACACAATACATTAAATTTCATCAATTATATCAATTTACTGTGTTATTTTCTTTCTCACAAAACTTTCTTATGTTCCATTTTACATTCCTTGCAATTCTTCCTTACAAGGATTTTTTAAACGGTACTCTCAATTACTGTGACATGGGTACTTCACTGGGGCCCAGTTGCACCAACATTATTTTGGTTTTAAGTGAGACTTAAATATATCTCTGTCTTTATTTATTTAGTAAGTAAGATAAAGATAAACTTATGTTTAAGTCTCACTTAAAACCAAAATAATGTTGGTGCAACTGGGCCTGGGAAGCAAAACGCTACGCTCGCATCCATGAGTAATTTTAGAGGATGAGAGAGAGGGAGAGAGAGAGAAACTGCTTTGTGTCCAGTAACGACTGCCGCGACCGTTTCTTCACCGATGATATGGCGTCTGTAATTAAAGGTGCGACGATCACTGTATGATTATTAATAAGGCGTATGTGTGTCCAGTAGATGGACGCATTTATCGTATAATAAGTATTACGGCAATACATTGTATTATACGTCATCACGTTTCCGCAGACACGGGCGAAATCTGGAGCCGATTATTCGATCATCGTCCGTTCGTCCAAGGAGAAATTACATTCTTCTTGCGAGAATTTCAGGTAAGTGATAATTGTCCTCGTGACTATGTGATATCAATGGTCGAATAGGCCAGATTTTGTGACTGAAGACATCTGATTGTAACCTAAATTTTAGTGTAAATGTTCGGTTTCAGGAAAAGAGAGCTGACAGGGAAGTAGAACGTCTTTTTAAGATACTTGAATATGCAACGGAATTGAAAGAAAGTCAACTAGATCGTACCGAGCAATTGGGAGATTGTCATTTACCTAGTCTCAAAGCAAATGTGGATGTTGCATTGAGCATGTGTAACCGTGTCTTACAGAGAGAAGAAAATTTTGATAGTGTGAGTATCAACAATAAAATCTTGCATTTAATTTAAATTTAATTGAAATTTTGTGCTATTAGCATGTTATGGTTTATTTGCATTTATTTGTGCATTTTAGTTAACTTAAGATAAAGCATGTTTAAAATTTTTCCATTTTTTAATTTCATTTAGTTCCAGATAAAGCTTTCAAAGAAGAAATAATGATCCATAATATGTTAGTGGCCAGGAAGAAAGATTAATTGATACAAATATGCTTTTGTTTTACAGGATAGCATTTTAAATGAAAACAGACTAATTAGAAGAAAGGAGTGGGAAAAATTTGTGAATGATATGAGTGATAAGTGTCAAAAAGTGGATCAAACCTTCCAAGAGAAAGAAAACGAAATACAGGAGTTCTATGTAGATTTGGAGAAAAAATTGCATATTACAGCATAGGATAATACATTCGCAAATTTGCTTCTCTACATACATCTTGTCCTAGCATTGATCCAACTTATGACATTTTTCAGAAAAGTGTACATAAAATTCACATAAATATGCCACTAGAATCAATTGTAGATCCTACTATAAGAATAAAACCAGCTGTAAAGCTGATAGATTTTATTTTAAAAAATATCAAAGACACAGATGATGCACCAACTGGTATTGTATCCTTAATCAAATCCAAGAAATCTAAAAAGGAGGCTGCAAATGCCATGTTAAAAATAGAGGATCTCAAGTGGTTAAACAGATATTTGAGAGAGTATAGAAAAACTGCAACTAAAAAAATTTACTTGCATGAACTGTTTGATAATTCTGATGTAATATTGCCATCACCACAGATCACACCACGGAATCCAGAGTTGGAAGCTAGAATAAAGAAGTTAAAGGCACAACAAGATGCTAGAGAATATCGAGCGATGACAAAGAGCATTGATTCTGTACGGAAATTCTTGCCTGAGGACAGTATCGCGTATCAAAGTAAAGCAAATTTATTTTTTCTATATAATATTGTTAATCACCTTTATCTCTTCTTTCTACCTTCTCTCTTAATACAATTTTATTTTGCAGTGAAGCAAATTAATAAACAACTTATCGCCGTTGCGCAGTTTATATTTTCTGTGATAGCTGGCTTCGCTTTTGGATTCACTGGAATAGAATTGTTAGTTGAAAATTTAGATTTTGGATTCAGACTACTTCTAGGTATAATTTGTGCACTAATTGTAGCACTAGCTGAAATTTATTTTCTGGCTCTAAAATTGAATGAGTATGATTTTGATGTACTTGCTACATCCAAAACTAAAAAATTGCATCAGGACTAGAAATTTCATTTGTGCATCTGTTGTGTATTACATGTTATTTGAGTATTTTAGTATATTATGCATAAAGCAATAGATAGCATCAAACAAAATTAAAATTATCTCAAATACTAATATATAAAAGCTAATATTAAGTTTATGATACATATATGTTAATAATATACCATAAAAAATATTGTATAATGTGTCATTAATAAGAGACAAAACAAGATACATTAAGGTGCTTGCTATTTATTTATGTCTTTATCATAGTCCTATATATTATTCAGTAAAGATGATTATTGTAACAATAAACTTGATAATTATTTATTTTATATAATTTAGTTGATGTATAATTGTACAATATGTATAATTGTACAATATGAACAAAATACAAGTGAAAATATCACAAATTAACATATATTTGTCATCTGTGTGTGTATAAAAATATTTCCAGTAGTAATTTTTTTGTTTTGAGATTTCCAGTATATAAAAAGAATGAAATGTTACAACTTACAGTGACCTCAATATTATTGTTAATTCCATATTACTATTTCCATATTACTATTAGTGTGATATGATATATTATAAACGAATGAAATGACAAAATATATATATATATATGTATATATAATATATATATGTATATATAATATATATATAATTTTGATCAATATTTTATGTTCAAATAACAAAAAATTGTAAATTGATTTAAATTAATAAACTACGACGGATATAGAGGCTTGTAGATGCTCTCATCTGATCAATTACAAATGAATGAAATGACAATATATATATATATAATTTTGATCAATATTTTATGTTCAAAATAACAAAAAATTGTAAATTGATTTAAATTAATAAATTGCAATAGATATAGAGGCTTGTAGGTGCTTTCATTTCATCAGTTACAAACGAATGAAATGACATATATATATATATATAATTTTGATCAATATTTTATGTTCAAAATAACAAAAAATTGTAAATTGATTTAAATTAATAAATTGTGACAGATATAGAGGCTTGTAGATGTTCTCATCTCTTACTGTCATCTTCACTGTCACTTTTAACACTGCTTTCACTTTTGTCACTGACTGAATTACTATTTTCCTTAGTCTCACTTTCCTGTTCACTGCCTGATGAGTTTCCATTTTCTGCTTTTGTCTCATCGCTATCTGAGCAGGAACCTGTATCAGAATCACTATCGCTGTCAGAATCTGAACTACTCTCGGAAGAATTACTACGAGATTCATTTTTGGCTGCCATCATTTCCTTGAACTGCCTAACAGTAATTTTTCTAGGCATTATTTCTCTGAGAAATTCCAATGCATCGTTTGTTTGTACTTCTTCCGCCAAATGTTTGTAGTCCAATGAAGACCCTTTATTGCTTTGCAAATGCGACTCTTCTGTTAAATAGTGTATAAAGAGTTCCTATAAAATACACATCGAAATGCTACATAAATTTAAGAAATATAATAAATATATATTTAAATATATAAATAACATAATAAATTATCACATTAATAAATTTAATATACATCGGCCCTTTTCCACCATAATGAAATACAGACGCATCTGTTTCCTTACCGTAGCTTTTGTAACCAAGTATAACCCATCTTGTCCAACGGTATCAACGTAAGGAGAACTTTTCATGATTGTTTTCACTCTTGAAATTGGTAAACGTAACTCCCTCATCTTTGTAGGGGAAGCTTGTGTACTCATCATGTGTATTTTTGACTGAAAAAGATCTGAAAAATAAAATAACAAAGTCAAAGAGTCAGCAACTGAGCGAGTGTGCAAACTATTGGAAGCGGTACGGGCCAACGGAAAAATCTCATAACATGTGTAACGTACGGGCTGTTCCAAAATCGGTCTCAGAAATTTAGTGTTTAGTTATAAAGTTAGTAGGCTTTAAACCAACTTATATACATTCCATAATTGATCAACTGATCACATTTGGACATTTAAAGTGTACTATTATACTATTTTTATTTACAAACTGGGTTTTAGCCATTAATTTTGTAATATTAGACAGAGGAATGGATAGATTTTTTATCTATTATCTTGACAATTGATCAGCTGATTAATTAATCAAGATGAAATGTATTTAAGTTAGTTTAAGACTCACCAATTTTATTATTTCACAAAAATAATTATTTTTTCAAATCAACCAATCATAGTTCCAAACGGATCATTTAATTCGTAGACAAATCAAATTAATCGTATCAATAATGTATAAAACTGACTTATAGGATTGGAGTCCTGGGAGATAGTATTATAATCGAGAAGAAGAAAAAAAGAAGATTCAGTTGAACGATATGTCAAGTTATATGTTAAAAGATATTCTGGGTCTACAATAGAGATGTAGTAAACCTTAAGTCGTAAGAAATTGACCAATCACAGTCAAAGATGAGGAGAACACTCGATTGTGATTGGTTAATTTCTTGTGGTTTTGAGGTTTACTCGTTTATTACATCATCGTGGAGCCGGGGATAGTGTTATCATTTTATATGTATAAGTGTTTAGATATATTGTTAATTAACATTTAGAGAAGATGAGGATGCATTTAGTATCTGCTGTATCGATATTAGTTTCTCTCGTAGCATCGTGTCACACATGGGAGGTATGTATCTTTCCTATTTACATTCGATTTGCCTTTATCCCTGTCATTTATGATTTACTGATTATTAATCTTACAGATACCAGAAAATTTTGCAAAAACTGAACATTCCAACAATTGGGCCGTTTTAGTTGATACGTCACGTTTCTGGTTTAATTATCGGCATGTTGCGAATGTTTTATCCATTTATCGGAGTGTTAAACGTTTGGGTATACCGGACTCGCAAATTATTCTTATGATAGCCGATGATATGGCGTGCAATCCTAGGAATCCTAGGCCAGCGACCGTTTTTAACAATATCAAGCAACATATTAATGTTTACGGCGATGATGTAGAAGTTGATTATAGAGGTTACGAAGTAACTGTCGAAAATTTTGTAAGATTACTCACTGGTCGTTTGGCGCAAGAAGCACCCAGATCAAAGAAATTGTTGACAGATGAAGGTTCAAATATTCTGATATATTTAACTGGCCATGGTGGTAATGGATTTTTAAAGTTTCAAGATTCTGAAGAGATCACTAGTCAAGAGCTGGGAGATGCTTTGGAGCAAATGTGGCAAAAGCGAAGATATCATGAGATCTTATTTGTTGTTGATACTTGTCAAGCAAGCTCAATGTATGAAAAATTTTATTCGCCAAATATTTTAGCAGTTGCGTCTAGTTTAGTAGGGGAAGATTCTCTTTCTGTGAGTTATTAGCTAGTACTTTAGTTATACAATTGCATTCAAGTGGTATTTGCTTTAATAATATATATCTGTATATATTTTGTAGCATCATGTGGACCCAGCAATCGGTGTTTATATCATAGATCGATATACCTATTATGCATTAAATTTCTTGGAAAAGGTAGAACCATCCAGTACCAAAACATTGGGTGAATTTGTAAGTACCTTACTTTTATAATTTTAACATTAGATTAAAATTTTTCTTGCTATACCTCTCTGCAAGGATAATTGGTTTTTTCAGTTGAAAGTATGTCCAAGGGATTATTGCCTATCTACAGTGGGTGTAAGAAGAGATTTGTTCAGAAGAGATCCTAATAAAGTACCAGTAACAGATTTCTTTGGATCACTTAGGCCAGTGGAACTTACGACAAATGTAGTCAATGTTTTACCTATTAAAGCTAACCACACAAAAGCTGAGGAACCAGAAAGAAAGTATAGTTATGTTGCACAATTTCCTGCTGTATCACAATATACGTGAATAATAAGAATAATTTCAACAAAAATTCCGTAAGTTCATTCTCTTGAAACATTACATATATTCTCTTAAAATTTTATTTGGTTTAAATGGAAATTCCATTTCCACTTCGATCGATAAATAATTCCGTACGTCATTGAAAGTTGTTTAACTTTTTTATATCATATTGCTTACTAAGTAAATCAGTCGTTTAATCTGTGTTGGAAATGAGGAGAGAAAGGCAAGAGATAAGAAAATACAATAATACAGAAACTACATAGATATAACTTTCTAGAAATTCGCGTTTGTTTCACTACTTTTTGCAAGATAATTACGCACGCGTGTATTAATCCTTGAACATTTGGTGACTGTTCTGAAGCAACAGATTGGATAGACCATGGATATGATCTAGCCTTGACCTAGATTAGTAGAGACATCAGAGAGAGAAATGAATTTTATAAAAATCATAGTTCACGGAAATATCGATACATGATAAACTTTGTGTATACATGATAAATTTTACATATAGCAACGAATGATGTGCGACATTACATGTCAACTTGGTGAAAAATAGAATTTCCACTATGATTATCGAGGTAATTACATGTTTGCATATAAAGAGCTTTTCGAGGCGAGAATAACAGTTGATCGAATGTGCCAGTCTCACATGATACTCTAACGTGGATACTTCCGAACGATTGATGCGATATAAACATATATATATATATATATATATTTACATTAGACATTTCAACAGATAGACACTTGCTGTATTTAAAGTAAGTATAAGTTCATCGTATTAAATCTTGATCTTTGTCGAATATTATAGCAAATTGAGTCGCTAATGCACGTAGAATTGAATCGGTTAGAAGATTCGGTTTCGCAAATTTACCTCAACGGTCAGATCGAGCTTCTCGAGGAGATGCCAGAGTATAGATGACGAATTTTAAAAGTGTTGATAACATAGAGACAACCGTCAAAATCTTATGTTTGATAAATATTGGCGCACATTTATATTATTTTTTCATATTATACAAACAATATGAAACACAAATACAATTTTATACAAATGTATGTTGCATTTTCGCCAATTTATAGCTCGAGGTGTCAATTTTGGAATTTTTTGTGGTTTTAATTATATATCGAGCGAATCATTTTTATATGTTATCTTTCATCATATGAAAGCAATTCTATACAGTTAATATAAATATGTGAACTACACATAATATATGTAACATATATACATATACATAAACTTTGTAGCAAAAAGACGATATTTCATGTACAAGTTCTAAGATTCTAAAGTTTTCAATGGCATCTCCCCTTGACTGATCCAACAAATAGCCAACATTGGCGTGCCGTGCAATCGTATAATCAACGAACGAAAGATAATTGACACGGAAATATGCTGCAGATGCGGTGCATGTTTCGATGGATCTTGTGGCTGCTAATGGGCATGGTGACGCAGGCGTACGTAACGCATGAGAAGTTTATAGAAGTACACGAATTAAGTTCTATGGAATCACTTATAGACCAACTGGCTCCGGTGGATCCGGCGTTACACGCTTTCCCGACGACACCAACCGTTCCCCTTTTGCCAAATTGTATGAAGCAAGGCTACTTGCGAGATCCGTTCAATTGCGGCAAGTTTTACCGTTGCGAGCACAGTTATAGCGTGCCGATGGCTTTCTATTGTCAATCGGGGTTAATATTTAACATGCATACAGAATCATGCGATCATCTTCAGTATGTGCAGTGTTGACCGTGCTGAGGCTGTACACATCAGGCCTCCCGAATATTCGGATATCCAACTATTCATAAATCCGAGGTCGGTTTTAATCCGAAAACTTAAACGCACTATTCGGATCTAAATTCCGACTTTAATGAGAGATTCGGGTCCAAAACCGAATTCGGATTCGAACCGTATGAAAAACAGGTAAATAAAAAAGCAAATTAATTTGATAAGGAAATTATCCGAATTATTCGAATAATAGAGATATAAATGTGATCACATCTCACAAGTTAAGCCATCAAATTATAATTGTAAACAGAAGCGATTATCAAATTATCGAGAAAGATCTAGTTTGCTGCAAACATGCTGCGAAATTGCATCCAAACTCGACTTCGGATTTGATACTTCTGTACTTACTGTAATCCGAATTCGAAGCGCTACGTTTTTATCAGCTATCCGAACAATCGAGTAGCCGAATAATGCCGGATTTATATGAATATTTTAGCCCTAATACGCGTACGTGTGACATAAATGATATTGCGCGATTTATTACGAATAAGTTATGAATAAAGCGACTCACTTTATAGAATGGACCAAGGGAAAGTTGTATGTTACTAATGCGAACATGAGAAAGTATTTAATTAGGATATTTACATAGATAATAAAGAATGCAAAGAAATATTTCGTTTTTTGTATTGCACAGGATGTATCAGGTAGAAAAGCATTGTCGCGCCACCCGTCGTCGGATGGCACAGTTGGCACCGTCTAATTATTTAATTGCATCCAGGAACTGAACTTCTGTGATTGCAACCATTGATTTGGGGGTCGAAGGCCGTCCCGCTCGGACAGTGGAATGGTGTCATCTGCCATGTACCGCCGTTGTTTGCGCACTGGTAAAATTTGCTGCAATCATTCGGATCTCGTACGAAACCGTTCTTCGTGCAAAGACCACTAGGCGGTGGCATCGGTGGCTGAGTTGCCGGTGGCTGAGTTGCCGGTGGTTGCGTAGTGAATGGTTTCTCGGTCGGCTTAGGGTCTACGGGTGGTGGCACCGGGACTCCTCCTCTCAGCTCAGCGTTGAGTGTTTTGAGTAGAGGATACTTCACGCCGCACTCACCCCTGAAGTCGTCGGTTTCGACACTCCACAACATCACGCCACCGAGTTTCTTCGATTTGATGTAGTTAGTTTTCACCTTGAGAGAGCTGTGAAACAAGAGATGATATATGCAATATCTGCGTTATGCCGAATGTCTTCGCTCGATGTCGCATTGGAAGAGTGGAGAGAACGAAAGAGAATCATTGTGTCATTGAAATGAGTAGAAATGCCACTTGAGAGAATTTATGATTAAAAAAACGCTTACGTCACGTCATCGTAGCCAACCCATTGGTTGCCATTGTAGGCATACGGGGTGCTGTCCTCTTGGCGGACCATGGACCAGCCTTGTTTCAAGTTCGTGCAGATTTCGTTGTAACCGAGCATTCCACCCTCACGAGTGTACTGTCCAGCGGCGCCAGGTCCAGTTGTAGGAGCTCTAAGTCCATTATTTTTTGGGTCGGCGAGGGTGAAGGATCTGCCGTAGAATGGCACACCGACAACTATTTTGTTGGGCGGGCAACCTTGGTCCAGCCAATAGTTCACGCATGCGTCCTGCGGAAAAGAAGGCGTTATCTCAGCGAGTGCTGTCGTCCGTTGTTCTAAAAGTATTACTTGGAACTTGCTTTGAGATACTGAAATGTGAACTCAGATCTGTCTTAACGGTCTTGTCTCTTTTTAAACTTATCAAGCGAGATATCGAAGATATAAAGATGGCTAGAATATACTTGCAAAATGCTCTGGATACTATACTTCTCCCTTGATAGTTAATTAACAACCATAAAATGAGACTAATATGAGATCTAGTCACGCGCATGTGCAATTATACCGTATGATTAATCTCAAGTTACGGCTTTTTTACGGTTAATGATTGACTTTCAAGGGAGAAAGAGTAGTGTTTGGAGTATCTCTTACAAGTATACTCTAGCGACTTGAAGTATTTTTTCATATATATATCTTCTGCTTAAAAATGGCATAAAAAAGTTTCGAGTTTGCGTTTTCTCGTTTCTGACGTCATCGATCAAGGCGTTCCACGCCAAAGGAGCTTTAACGTAAGTTACCTCTTCGAGGGTAGTTAAAACGGAAGAAAGCCGAGATACTCACAACATTGAGCTTAAGGTCGTTTCCAGTCTCGTCCGGGCGCGCATAAAGCGGAGCGTTGTGACCGGTATGCTTCTCCCACGAACCGTGAAGATCGTACGACATTATGTTGATGAAGTGCAAGTATTTCGATATTTCGGGGATATTATAAGATTGAGAGGCGGAGGTTTCGGCAGCGCCAACGGCAGCACTGAGGATAAGGCCATGTTTGTCGAATTCAGTTCTGAGTTCCTTCGTCAACGACACGAAGTTCTGTACGTCTTCCGGTTTGCCGCCGCGTTGATTAGGATACTCCCAGTCCAAGTCGAAGCCGTCGAAGTTGTATTTTAACGTAAAGTCCACGACGTTCTTGACGAATCTGGCACGTGTTGCCGAATTGGCCATTACTGTGGAGTACTTGAGGGACCCCTCGTTCCATCCACCAATTGCGACAAGTGTCTTGGTACTGGGGCTCAATTTACGAAGCGCGTTGAATCTACCGAAAGCGTCTTTGCCATAATTGTCGGAAAGATCGTTCCATGAGTCCAAGACTCTCACGTCACCCTCAGTAGATATTCCAACGAAGGTATAGATGAGATGGGTACACAGTGTCGGGTCAATATCCTCGACTGAGCATTTGCCACTGCCTGGTCGGTAAACAGCCCAGCTACCGTAGTAGCACACAATCCTGTCTGCGTAATCGGAGAAAAGAACGTTGTATCAATGCTATGTCAATATACCACAGGAAAAACTCTGATTGTTTGATACTTACCCGTTTGACTTTCATGATCCGGCGCAGCGGAAGCCAAGGCGGCTAAAGCTGCAAGAGCGAATATCCAACGATTCATCTGCAAATTCATCGTTTGGCGAGGTGAATTTCTGTCCTTGGAGTCTTAGTAACCCGTATTAACAATCGTTTATTCCCAATGATATTTAATAATTTATTTATGACTTGTATCTCATATAAGATCTTCGGGGAATGAATGAATTCCAAAGAGATGGAATGAATTTCAAATCTTTCAGTTCAGTCATTTGGTACCCCGGTAAAAATTAATTATACAAAATTTTGTTTTTATATTATATGCAACTATATATGTTCGCATTGAGAAAAATACTCTTATACAAATGCAATTGAAGTAAATACTTGTGGCAGCCTGTGACGCCGACATTTAATTGAATGAAATTTTTTTGCTCTCTTTTCATATTCGACAATATTTTTCTTTCGTATGGATATATGTAATTATATAATAATATATATGTAATAATATAGATGTTATATATATATATGTATTATTATATATAGTAATATATAAAAATATATAATGTATATGTAAAAAGAAATTTATATATATATATGTCATATATATATACACAATTAAATATAATTTGCATATAATCAGATATAATTTTATATAATTATATATAATAATGTTTTTCAGAACGATATATGCATATTATATCTGTAATTGCAATGCAACTGGAAAATTCACATCTACCTCTGGATGAAAAAACTCGCAAGTTTTAAGTATCTCAAACTTATCTGAAGCGAAATACTTCGATATAAATTTAGAGTTAGATGTGAGTTTTTCAGCTGAATCGCAGGTACAGGTAAGTCGCACGTATCACATAGTTCAGCTGAAAGAAAAAAAAAACTTAGATCAAACTCTCAATTAGATTCCGAGTATGTCTTTCACACGAGACGAATTTCAAGTGACGATTGTTAATACGAGTTTTTTTACATTTGAATACGTGTTTCTTTTATATTTCGGTTATATATCGGTTTTCGCTCTCTTTTCTCTTTCTCATCGATACCGTTCGAGATGTTGATTTTTATAGGTGATAGATATCAACCGCGACCGTTAAGGTAACTTAAGTATGTCGCTCTCACCTTGTGAACGATTCTCGAGCCCTGCGAGTATTACGTGACCGAAAGAACCAAATTTTCAGCCGTCGACTCGGCTTATATATACCGGTGCACCGGTGCAATTATCGTTCGTTTCGCTTGTTTAACCATGATGATGCCGATAAATTAATTCATTTGCACGAATATGTACACATTATTAACGTCATCGCATGAGAACACACAGGTGCAGCGAACGTCACTACGTAATTTGTGTGTCCTTTCCTTTTTTTATTTCTTTTTTTTTTATTTTTTCTTTGAACAGTTGATCCGACAATGAATCCGCAGACCTGACCTGACATACATGTCACATGTATAAGTTTAATGTTTTGTATCGCAAGGTAAAAACACCAATGGCCGGTACACGTATTTAATTCTAGACACTCTTATTGTTTTAGTCTTAAATATTTAAACTTTCAATATAGAAAACACTACACACACACACACACACATATGTTGAATAAATTCTTTGTTAAATGTTTCAATATTTGCATTTGAAGATCAAAATAATAAGAATATCCAGAGTTTAGGTACGTGCCCCCCGGCATTTTGGCACTTTTACTTTATAACATTCGCGAGAAATAATTAATTGTTTCAGCGGTATTCTCTTGAAAATGTGTTACGATCATAGCGATATAAAATAACGCAGCCCTTAATCTATATCGTGTAACTGATGCAGAGCCAAAGAGATGATAGATTTAACGTGATTTTATTATTTTTCTTTACGTTTATCGTATTACGCGCGAATTCGTAATTCACGTAAACATCTCGCAAGTGTGAGACATTATTGAGCAACACCGCATAAATTGACGTAACAATAATCGGAGAAATATATGTGTAGTTATGAGAACAGATGTTACATTAACTGTGCGCGAATGAAAAATCGCGTAAACAAGTTGTCGCAATTAACGTTTTACTTAACACATCGTCGATGCGAATTGAGGATCTTATTTAAACACCCATGCGAGTCCAATTAGATCGATGTGTTTTTGCATATTCATATATGAAAGAGTACCAAACTTTAAATCCTAATAAATTACAGGCCCGATTTAAATTCAAATTTAAATTGTCGAGAGCTGAATGAGAAACGAGATCGAAACCGAGACATATTTGAGAGAATAGCCAAAATGCAAAATTCGTCCTATAAAAATTACTTGTCAATTACCCTTACTTAATTACGTTTGATTAATTACCTTCGATCAGCGATCGCCGAAGTCGTTTTCTTCTTCGTCGGGAATATCTCGGTGACGCGCTTATTCAAGCGGTCGAAAATCACAATGTATCGATTAGAACGGCCGATATTTAAATACGGGACGCGTATACTCGTATCAGATGGCGGTCTATTAACGCGATCTTTATACCTCGACGCAGCAGAGGTTTCTAATTGCTAACAAATAAACTAAGTCGCGGAGGAATTACGATAATGTCGTACACTTCCTTATAGGTGGTGCGGGACAACGCCCAATTTATCATTAACGACGGGTCTATTTTTCCGTGCGATGTGCCGCTGATTACAGTGAGTAAGCTCGTTTGTGTACCCAAGATGCTTATCCCTTTCAGCACATGCTGTGAGCCGACCGCTTTAATCAATGTTCAGATAAGTCACGGCAATCGTAATCTTGTTCCCTACTCGTACGACCGTAGTAATGCGCGAGTACTAATAATAGTACAGTGCGAAGCTTGCACAATTCACGTCACAGGCTTTGTCAATATCAAGCACATTAGTAAACAACAACAATTATGTGTAATCTCTCGATCTTCATTTTTCATCCTTCAACTTCTGCACTTATTTACATGTACAAAAACTATAATACAATATGTGCAAAGGTATTTTAATATTATTCCATGTACTTTTACATTGCATAAATTAAAATTTCTTGGTTCCTTTGATTTTGTTGTTTCTCCTTAAGCCTAATAATCGCAATCTTCTCCAGTATTGCTTGGTATTTGGATCCATTTCTTCCAGAGGTGGAGGAGGACCAGTTCTAATATTCCACAACCAGCTGGGATATTCTGAATCTGACTTTATCTTAACATCTTCTCCTTCTTTGTAGATGTTTGTGCCACATACATGACTTTGGAGCTTATAAGGATCTGTTTCTACTGATAATACCTTCTTCTCGACTGAGACTGAGAATGATTTCTTTGGTTTCTTCGACACTGAATTTTATGAAATATTATTATTATAGATATTAAAATACACTTAGTTATAAGATTACATTTAATTAATTATATTTAATTATAAACATATATTTGATAGACATGATCAACAAATGAAAGTAAATATTGAATATACAGTTCTCTTTCATATACAGCTTCTTTAATCAGCCTTTCAAATAATAATTAAGTAAACATCGAGCAACATTATATCAATGTTATAATTTTCTATTCAACAATTATTACAACATATGTATAATGTTATAATGCAACAACTGTCATATGCAATATATCGCATTTATAACTTACTTGAGTGGTAAATTATAATATTGATGTTACTGTCATTTGATGTTTACTAGGAATTTATCAATATAAAATATAGTAACATAATTAAAGTATCTTACTTAATATAGCGTAACTTCTTGCTTGTATCGCATGTTGAATCAGCAATACAGAGCCTTTTGGAAAGTGGAAAAGCCGGCAGATAATAGAATTCATCCTGTTCAACTTTATAAAGGATACCTGCGTTTGAATAAATAAAGAAAAATTTAATTAATTAAACAAAGAAATAAATAAGAAAGTCAGGTTAGATTAGATTAAATTAAAATGGCATGACTTTTTGTTGATAAATCTTCTTTTCAAGACAGATAATATTATAGCTTCCTTTTTCTTACTCACTTTTTCCAATATTTTGTTTTCAATTATTGTGATTTAAAAACAAAAACTTCAATAAATTCTGTGACTTACACAACCTCAACTTTTCATTCAAAAAGTAACGCCACCTAACGGAGGAACTTTGAACCTATTAAACCTATTAAACGTCTGATTCTCCGTGATAAGACCAGATGGCGCCAAACAGGCAATTCATCAGTCAACGCGTGAATCGGATATTGAAAAATGTAGTTCTAAAAATTCTGCTACGAGTCGCTACCGTTTTTAATTAGAAATTGAGATTTTAATAAGTCTAAATGATAAATCAGCATCTTATTTTACTTATCATTTAGTGTGACTCAATAGGTCTTGATAATACGTTAAAAAAAACTATTGTATATAATTATTCATAAATGAGGCAGTCACGTAGTAAGATGACGTTGTGATTTTAAATAAATAGAATTTGCGTTCCTCTTTTTCGATTTTTAAATAATAAACTCAAATAAAATGTTTCTAAATAAATTCTTTGGTTTTTAATAAAATTATTGACAAACAACGAAGATTCACGCTATTTCAAACACAAGTTTCGATCTGACCCGAATTTCTTGATACATTTTATATTCTTGATAAATTTTTAATTCATTTGAAAAATGTATTCATCATTTTGAACTATTATTTATACGTCCTTGAAAAAAAGGAGAATAAATTTTTAACTAAAGATAAATCTTTTTCGAAGATAAATAATATAATATTGGGTGTGTGAATATGACTCCGCCCTTTTTTGTTAAAATAAAATACATTTGCTTGTTTAGAAAATTAAAGAAAAGTTTATTGAAAGTATGCTCCATCTGCAGTTACAACCTTCGCCCATCTTTCAGGTAATTTATGTATTCCTTGCCTGAAGAAGTCCTGATCTTTTGAGCTGATCCAATTATCAAGCCAAATTTTGATACTTTCGTATGAAGTGAACCGTTCTCCCGTAAGATCTGACTGCATCGTCCGGAACAAGTAATCTGAAGGAGCTATGTCTGGCGAATATGGCGGGTGGAGTAGCACTTCCCAGTCCTGTCCATCTAAATATCTTTTCACGACTTCTACGGTATGCGGTTTGGCATTATCATGCTGAAGAATTAATTTGCTGTGCCTATTCACCCATTCTGGCCGTTTTTCTTCTATGGCTCGCTTCAAACGCATTAGTTGTCGTCGGTAAACTTCTCCTTTAATAGTTTGGCAACAATCCTCTGTCAATAATGCTTCCAATTCAGTATCTTCAAATTTTTTTTGGTGGTTTCCCATGTTCTCTGTCCTCAGTTCCAAAATCATTATTTTGAAATCGTCGAAACCATTCCTTACAAGTTGTATTAAATGGAGCATGATCACCGTAAATCTCCACAAGCAAACGATAAGTTTCCGCTGCACTTTTCTTTGCAATAAAATAGTCTAATAATACTTCCCGCAAATAATGTTTGTTTGGAACGAAAACCGACATTTTCAAGTAGGATAAAACACTTGTTGCTTACACTTAAACCAAATTTCACGTAGTGCGTTTGAAAGTTGACATGAAGTACTATCGAATACAAGTGTTGCCAGTTATTAGTACACGTTAACAATACTAAAAGCAACATCTGTTGGGAAAGGGCGGAGTCATATTCACACACCCAATAGTTAATATTAAAGCTCTACTTGAACGTTAATGGAGAATTTTTAAAGTCGATATGAATTACACAGAAGGATAGTCATAAATAATTATTTCCAAAGGAAGAAAATAACGTCGATGAAATATTTTATATATTTTACAGTCTGGATGTAGCAAAGTAATACAATCATAAAAGGAATTCAAAAAGGCTGCCAAAATCCAGTCTAAATTAAACGATTTAGAAGGCTGACAATCTTTCGGCGCGTGCGATATTATTTTGTTCCCGCGGAAATAATTATTCTCAACAATCATTCTCAACAGCTGGCTCTTACTGGTTGCAGAAACTCTTCGCGATTGAATAACGGAATATTACAAAGAAGCGTCGGATGGAAAAATAGAATGTTCAATGTTTATGCGCGTCTCTATGGCATTCGCGTTAATGGGAATATCGTGTATTTGTTATATATCTATTGTACATACACACACAAACACACATATACAGAGCACGTGCAATACGACGCATTGCACGCACGCACGTATTACATACCGGATGCATGCACGCACGTTCGATATATCCTCGAGTTACAGCGCGACAGTGATTATCTCTGTGGGAACGTCGCGTGGATATTGGTGTAAAATTCGAACCGCCAAGAGGATACCGCGATTAACAATGGTATCGTGTGATTACGCATGCATTCTGTTGCATTTGCGCGTATGCACCGGTGATAGCGCGAGCGTATATATATGCGCACTGTTCGATCGTCCGCGATACTCGCGGACTGAAAATCGTTCGTCATACGAAGTGCGGTCGTGAGGCGCGATGGAAAGAACGACATGTCCCGCGGTCCTGTTGATGATCCTGCTGCCTCTTGCGACGTAAGATATCGATCGTATTCGCAATTCAAGCGGTAGCGAAACAAACCAGTAAGACTTGTAAAATCTCAGATCTCTCATTCTGCTCTCTGTTTTTTGCCTCTTGAAATCTCACTGGAAATCAGTGAAAATTCACGCGTTTTGGCCGACAGTGAAAACCGCTTAAGATCGTGTAAGAGCGAATGTTCCGCTCAAGCTTAGAGTGAATTCTGCTCTCTGCGTGCGAGTGAATATTTCAGTCAGAGTGAACTTGTTCCTGCGACAGCGATAGGAAAACGTCACGCTATTTTAGACACAAGTTTTAAATCTGAATTTCAGAATCAGAATTTCTTGATACATAATTTTTTATTTACTCTGAAAGATGCATTCATTGTTTCGAACTATTGTTTATACTTTCTTGAGAGAAAAGGAGAACAAAAGAGAAAAAAAATTAGAGAAAACTTTTGGGCTTGTGATTTTTCGCTTTTCAATCTGACAATACTCACACAGACGATTCAGAGTGAGAAAATTCACTCTATGCGAGTAGAAAGTCACTCGAATTTGAGCGCAACTCGGACAGTTTTTACTCTGCTTATATTTCATACTCGAGTGTTACTCTAAATTCACTTCGAGGAATTCACAGAGAGCATCTTCAGAGATTCCGACGACGGGGCTTCGCGCAGGGTAATTTCGATCGAGCGCGAGTTCGGAAAACGCACTGATCGCGACTCCGCGCGACTCGCGACTTTATAAGGGGGAAATATCCGAGAAGGAAATTCGTCGCTGTTATCGTCCCTCCGCAGAAATCATTATTCGCAGTTATCGCGCCTAGCTCCTATTGACTCTACAAATTCCCCGTCATTAAGTATCACCAAGTGTCACAAGGAATGTTTTCTCGAGCAAGGCAAGAGCAGGTCGCGGAGGGTGCGTGCAGTTGCGCCGCGTTCAATATTTCGGGAACGGAACCGATAATTGAGTACACGCTTCAGCACAACGTCAGCTGCGATCGAGGAGGCATCGACTGCGAGCAATTGTGCATCGCCTTGGTAAATATACCCTTCCGCATTGTTTAAATATCATTTCCTTCCCGCTTTTAGCTGCCAGGTTGCCGTTAGCTGCCTGCTTTGTGGAACAAAATACGTATCTATATGATGCCGTGGCTTTCACTTTTCTACAAAGATAATATTAACTCTAATCCTCCCTTCGCTACCCTGAAAAAATTAGGAACGCGCTATTCTAAATTAGCCTGCCGATATCCTTGAGAAAGCCATACATTCGTCCTCATCGAGCCCCAGATCTTTTCTTTCGATCGTTTCTTCCACATATCCAATCTGCATTTTTTTCCTATTTACTATACTATTTATACTGTATACTATTTATTATTGACCATATTTTTATTAATACCATATTTTTAACCACTCCTCCTTTCCTCGTCATCGTGTCTTCTGCATCTTGGCGAATGATATGCTTAACATCCGTTGAAATATGACTTTTCTACCTTAAATCATTCTTGCGTTAATTCTTCCTACTAATCACTTCATCACGCCGTCTATTGGAAGTATTACTGCAGGCTGATCGGGAAGTAAACGAGTAACATCGAGATTGACATCTTTTTGTGTTTAGGCCGTAAGCGCTCGGGACAAGGCGGCGATGTTGATCTGCGAAAAATTGAACGCGCACATCGAGAATTTAAAGGTGAGCGTGCGGTCCGATCGGTCGGCGAAATAACGGGTAAAAATAAACGAGCGCTCGGCGCATTATCGTACGACGAAATTGTTACATGGGAGTAAATTTGCGCAAATAATAACGAGCAAGTAAATATAATCAGAGCTGAGCGCGCGTACGCAGATCTCGATGCGGTATTCATTAATTGACGCGCCAACCGAATGCAGAGCGTGATCCGCGTGTCAAGAGAGAGAGAGAGAGAGAGAGAGAGAGAGAGAGAGAGAGAAACGCGTCGAAAAATTGAGCCAGTCAGCGTTGGCGGCGATTTCGGCGATTCGAGGAATTAATTCGGTTACTTTTGCAGGTAGCGGTGTATGCGAAGTCCTGCGACACGGCGCGCTGGTCGTTCACCGGCTTGGAGAGTCCGGAGTACATTTGCTGCCACGAAGGAAAGGCGACGGCCTGCGACGAGACGACCGAAAATCAAGCAGCTTCGTAATCAGTCATTCTCTCGTAATCTCTCGTAGTCGTCTTTGTCATCAGCGAATATCGCGCGGTCGATCACCCTTCGCCGCGTTCCTTATGTTTTACTCCAGTCGATCGCGTGACAGCGCGCGCGACGCGGTTCGACGTTATTACTCTTCATTACCGCCAACTGACGACTCCGTCGCGATCATTGCGAGCTGCGATTTTCGAGCTATCGAGATATCAATCACGGCTGATTGCACGAGTGATCCGCGGTGGAGTCGCTGGATAATTGTAAGAACGACGAAATTCGCATGAAGCGCGCGCGACAGCGATGAATTTACGTAGAAATGCAAGTAATGCCGTTTCGGCGGCGCATTATATTCGATACGCATTTATACCTTTTGTTCCGCTCACAAAGCCCTCGGATGCCGAGACAGAAATGTATTGAAGCTCTTCTCTATACAGATGTGATAAAGCTCCGGGCTAAAATGCAATAATGTCGGCGGCGCTCGAAAATGCGCGAAAAACCTCGCCGCGATGAGCCGAGAAAACGCCGTGGGAAAAAACTCCTTTTCCTTAACGAGTCGTCTTCTACTCTCTGAGCTTTCGTTCAAGTGAAATTTCAGCCCCCCCCCCCGGGGAGAGAGATATTACCCGGAGAAATTTAGAAAAAATTCCCTGAATTTCCCGGAGGGAAGTTTCGAAAAAAAACGGAGCGACAGGTCAAATTCTCGTTCTTTCCCGAGAGGTCTTACTTCAAGAAATTTAGAGTACTTTCTCTCGGAGTGAACTTTCACTCGGGAAGCAGAATGACAGTCGAGTCGTTTGGAAATTCGAGCGATTTTCTACTCGTTTCCTCCGCAGAGAGAATTTTCCACTCCAAATCGCCGAGTGAATATTATCATTCCAAGTTGAAAAGTAAATTTGTTTTCGACACACCGTTACAGGAACAAATTTATTCTAATTGATTGAAACATTCGCTCCTCGCGGGCGTGGGGCCGAGGTTTACTCTCTAGCTTAATCGAATCATTCACTTTAACGATTTCGAGTGGCAATATTTTCACTATCGTTTGGAGTGAATCCAAACGTATATATCTCACTCTTTTCGAATATGAAATATATCGAATATCATAATTCTTCTCATATAAAATTGTCTTTCTTATTTTACGTTTTCCAAATCACTCATTTCATTGTTTTTGATAGTTAATACAGGAACAAACTGTCATACGGTAGAATTCATCCGGCAAGGAACGCAGCCTCTTCAACAGGTTTTTAAAATACAAATAGCGCATGCGAAGGGAAGAGACAATAAATTATGGTGGAATGTTTCTCGGCTGTAGAATTACGTGCAGAATGACTACTTTACTAAAATAAAAATCTGCCCATGTGCGCATACCTATCGGTAAAGCGTAATCTCTCGCATATTGGATGAACGAATCGAGTAGACTCGTCGCTCGGCGGCGGCGATGCCGCAACGAGATGCGAAAAAAGTTGCTCGAATTATTCGAAACAATTATCAGTAGTAATGCTGCACCGGACGCTGCGCACTCGATATAGGCGCGCATAACGATTCGCTCGCCGCGTTTTCAACGATATTACGATAGCTTAAGCGCCGATTATCGGCGAGAGATTTAATCGAGGGGGCACCTGGTCGCTTCGTATCTGAAAGTCAAAGCTCGCTCGAAGAAGAGAGCGCTTGAAAGCATTAAACGCCATTCGTTCCCGACTGAATCTCCTTTCGCATAGCACAAATAGCACAGCCGATTATACGGGGTGTATCGGCGGATATGGAAATGGAATACGCGCCTATCGTATACCGTGTGTTCGTTCTTGCACGAGCTACTCTTTCTCTCGATGGGGCTCTTAATAAGAATCTAATTACACGATGGATTCATTCGCGAAGCGAAAGCTCTCGTTCCATCGATAATCCTCGGCGTCGCTTCAAAATCGCTCAAGTTGCGTATCCGGATTACTTCAAAGAGGCGGAGAGGCGCGCTCGCCGGCAAAATCTTCGGAAAAACGCCCCGCGAAATCGTAGAATCCTTCGTGAGGAGCGAATGCGAAACTTTACAGCCGGAAGCACACATGCAGAACAAATGCAAGCGGCCAAATTTCGAAGCGATAAAACTTAAGCATTGAGCGAATTGCTCAGCCAGCGGTCGATTACAGTCCGAAAATTATCCACCGTGATTAGTTAGTTTGCTCGCCGCTCGTGTCTCGTTACTTACGTTTGTGCGTGTGTGTGTGTGTGCGTGTGTGCATATGCCATGGGCTCAATTTTCCGCATCTACTACCACGCTTTTCATTAACTATACACGTTTATACGACGGCATAAAACTGGCCTAGTAACAGACGCAGTTTGCGTTCACATGAACAGAGTAAAATCAATTTAATAATTTACGATGTCGTAACTATCGATGTCACGCGTGTTGTATAAACATTTTAATAATAGTAATAGTTTATTATTATTATTGTTGCTAATTCTTAGTCACACAAGAGAGAAATGCAACGGGATAAAATAAGAAAAATGTGCTTAGCAAATAACATAATTAGCAGATAACAGATACACTAAATTTCTCTATAAATTCACGCTTGTAAGTGGCCACAAACAAATAAGTAACATAATAAAATAAAAACAAGTGCGGAGAAACTTTTCAGAAAGATGTAAGAAGAAATTCGTCGCGAACATACATATTCACACAATGTCGAGAGCGGCGAGATCGACTTCGTGCCAGTCATGTAAACTCGCACGGCGGTTTATCCGTACAAATGTTGCCAAAGCGATTTTTGGTCGCCACGCGCGAACGTAGCCGTTTATCCGTTCCGGAAAAGAGTTCGCTTTTTGTTTTTCCAGGCCGACGGCGACAGACACTACCGCGGGAGAAGGTCGCGTTTCACACGAGCCACCCTGTATACGCGGAAATCGTGGATCCTGTCGCGTCCAAGTAGTATGAACGTGTCGGTGTCCGTTCCACCGGCTCGAGATATACCCTCTATTTCGATGATGGCGTTCTCAGAGTCTTGTCCCAGAAGCCAGCGGCATTGAATGGACGGTTTGTTATCGCTTTCCCTTGCCTCCTACTTGCCGGGGATGAGTCTCTTCCTTCGAACTCCGACGCGCCTCTATATAGAGCTCGTCGCGAAGGCCATTGTGCGACTGAGGTTTTGTCGTCCTTTCCCCGAGCGATTTAATGACTACACCCTCTCCGAGCTGCAGCAGCGCGAGCGTTTCTTGATCGCGAGAGTGCGCTCGCTCGCTCGCTCGCTCGCGGCTTCGAGATTGCCGATACGACGCTCGAGAGAGCTCGCACGACCGCAGAAATTCCGCGTGTCGTGCGGCTATCAGCTGTGCGCCGTTTCCGTGCTACCGCTGATGCCGTCGCGATTAATTCGAGAGGCTGCTGCCGCCGCCGCCGCCGCTGCTGCGGTCGTGTTCCCACAGATTCTTTTGTGTCTACAATTTCGCGACGGCCGGTTCGCCGCACGCCGGTCGGCGTTAATAACGCCGGACGGTAATTCGTTCGGCGATATTTCCCCTCGCGCTCGCGTCGCCCACGAGCGCTCCGTGCTCGTCCTACCGATACGATTAAACGAAACGGAAATTGAGGTAACTAATTGCGGCTTTCCGCTTCGGTCTCTCTCTCTCTCTCTCTTCGCAAGTTATTACGCAACACGCACGCATCGGCACGCGTTTGCGTGGGCGGCGCACGCGATCATCTCGATTCCACGGATCCTCGATCTCTTTTCCGTGATCCATCGCGTTGAAGGATCCACGTTGTTACGTCGTAGACGCGTCTCACGATTGTCGCGACGGCGACGGCGAGGTGTTAATTGCCAGCGTGGATCACCGCTCCCCCAAAGGGAGCCGCGCGCGAGAAGTTGCAGAAATTCCGTGAGACTCTCCCGAGATGCGCCGTAGATTCCGCAGCGGATGCTGAAATTTGTCCCGAAATAGGTTATTCCGCGGTGATACCAATTGCGAATCCCATTCTTCCGCCGAGCGTGGGTTCTCTCTGTGTAGAATCGAGTCAGAAATACCGTGGAGAAACTTGCGTTTACCCGGCTCTCAATCGGCAAAATTGGCATCCTTCGATGGAATCGCTTATATAGAATGCCCTATTTTTATACCAGCTATTAAATTCTATAGAACCGAGGAAGAGAGAGAGAGAGAGAGAGAGAGAGAGAGAGAGAGAGAGAGAATATTTATATTTCTATTCGCACGCACTCAAAGTGTTTTATTCAATTCTAATCCAAAATAAAAAGCGGGAAAAAGCTCCGGAGAAACGAGTCGAGTGGAATTTCATCGGGTTTCCCGTTTAGAGAATCTCTAGCTCGAAGAGCATTGCATTTTTATTCTGAATTTCCGTACGTTTTCCGTACAATCAGAATTCACTTGGGCGGGGGAGGGAGGAGAGGAGGAGGGGAAGTTAGACCGAATTCCGATTAGATCTGAAAAATTCTTTCACGCGGGATCTCACCTCAGGAGAAATCCACGTAGATCTCCTGATCGAGGACTATCATTTTCTCGGGAAATCGAGATTCCATCCTAAGGAACTTTCTACACGGGATCTCAGCCGAATCCGCGTAGATTTTCGAAACGGTACGTGACTGTTCGGGATCGGCTTCAATTAGGTCCCAAGAATGCTCCAGGAGATGATCATCGTCGTCGGCGTTCGATTTTGATCCGATCGAGACGCGCGCATGCGGACGGACGTTCGCTAGATGAGTAAATTTGGTTGGTCGAGGCTAGAGAGCGCTCGAGCCTAGACAGACGCGTTCTAAGCGGATCTACACCCTCCCGTGACTAAGGGGATGAGTTTACGCACGTGTGTTTACCTATTAGCGACACGTCGGGCGCCGGGGCTGCGTGGTCGACGAGCTTTGCGATTGTTCCTTCCTCGCGGTGCGCGCGGCTCCCTTTGCATATCCGTTCGCGGTAACGCCGTAGATGTTATTCCAAAGCACACCTGCCCCCGCGCGCGTTGTTGTTTCGACGCATGCTGAATAAACGACTTAATTATTATTCCAACTTCGATAACGCGGGACAGAACCACGGACGGACAGAGTCGAGAGCCGCAATCATATTCGCGGAGTCTCATCGGAAATTTGTCCACCACAGGAGGTGTGCTTTGCCTGCCATCGGATTAACCACCTCGCGAGTTGACCACGGTGGAGTTGGCTACGTCGCTACGTGTTACACCGTTATATGAAAATTTATATTCATTTAATGCAAATATATATTTATTTACCGCGGTTATAAAACGCGCTTCGCCGTGTAGAAAATTCCTTGGGATCTTGATTAATTGGGATTCAGCTCGATCTTCGGAAAAGATGATGGACTCTGAGAAATTTCCCTGAGAATTAATAGAATGGAAGTCTACGTAGATTCAGGTTAGAATGTTCCAACGAAATCAAACAGGACATTCGAGCAGGTTCTATTTAAATAATAGATTCAAAAAGTTAATACGTTACATACTTTTGAATGTCACTTGTATGCTCTTTTTACGCGTTCAAAGATTTTTCTGATTCTTATTTTACGCTAGAACTGAAGTAAATATACGAGATGCTTTAAAATGTTTCTTATTTTTCGTCTTCGTGATTTTATTGAATTCAATAATCGAGACGGAAATGAGTTTCCCCCATTCAATCTTATAAAAATACAGAAATCTTGTCAATTAAAAGAGCGTGATTCCCCAAATTATTTCTGTTTTAATTCCGGACGGACAACCCACGTTAAAAATAAGAGCGGGAACTTTTCCAGTTAGTATCACGGTTAAATTTTGAGGCAAATCTTAGACGCAAAAATCCAAGGATGCTGTTCGGAATGTACGCGCTACCGAGCAAATCTCGTGAAATCTTTGCGCGAAGAAGCGGAGGGCCTATTTTCTTTTTTTTTCTAGTTGGCGCAGAATTTACTTTGTTACATCTCACGCACTTTACCGCCCTCGTAAAAGATACCTATAACATCACTGGTTTCACGAGCGGCCACTTACATACACAAGGACGATTTAGCCGACGGCCATTGTAGCGGCCATTCTCGTTGCGAAAGGGTTGGGGAGAGGAAAATTAGAGTGAGCACACTTAGGAGGGTGCTATCTTAAGATGAAGAGACGATCGGTAGCAGGACGCGGCGCTAATCGAGCAAGCGAGAAGTAAGCAACGAGACAGATAAGTGGCCAGACAGACAGACAGAGATGAAAAGGAGGGACGAAAGGGGATATCGATTAAGGTGGATGCGAGCAATAGTTTGGCAGAAACCCGTGAAGCAGATAAGCATGCCTGCGGGATGGCTTCGATCGAAAGTGGAGATTCCTGCTGTGTGAGGTACCGTTCTCTCTCTCTCTCTCTCTCTCTCTCTCTCTTCTTCCCTTTCTCTCTCCCTTTCTATCCTCGGCAGCAAGTGCGGCGGCACTTGCGGCAGCGGCATGGTATGGAGCGAGCGGGCAGAGCTTCGCGTAATTATTGGGTTGCCCCGTAATATTGGGAAAGTTGGCGGCGCCCTTGTAAAATTCTTCCTCGCCGGGAAACCCAAGAAATTCGGCCGAGCTGGAGTCTTCAAATTGCGCGACGGAGAAAACGAGCGGCAGAATGGCGAAAAATCGCGGAACAAAACAGGGAGGGGTCCCCGTGGATCTCGTCCGCGAGTCCGCGCGCGACTCCAGAGGCTCGCTCGTTCGCTCGTGATGCAATAACGTGACGACGAAACTTCGGGCAATTAGGGAGAACCGCAGCCTTCGACGAGCGATCTAATTATTGGCATCTCGCGATCATCGTACAAAAAAACACACAAAAGTAAAGTTGCGTTTTTATTCGATTTCTATTTTATTTTTTTTCTATTCGATTTTTTTCCAAGGTTTTTACATGACGACGCCTGCGAGATGCCAATAATTATATTATTAATATACCCGGACTGTTAACATTTCGCAGTGCATATACAATCGAAAAATTGACACGAGGTGTTGATGAAGACGACGGCTATGTTTGGGAAAAGCGCATATCCGATATTCAGTTCTGCGTTGATCGTTACTGAAAGACTCAATGAACCGGAAGAATAATTTCTCATTTCTATGTAATAAATTAATTTTCATTAGAAACGGACATATCCGTCCATTTCGCTTGGCTATTACCATGACATTTTTTCGAATGATGCTTTTTTGCTGAAGATGAATCGAATCATAAAAATCATATTTTCGACTCGACTTTTATGCCATTCGACGTCGAGCTAAAGAAGAATAAATACGGCGATACGGGGACATTTCTAAAATCTCCTAACAATGCAAATAGGTGAGAAAAAAACCATGGAAGATTTAAGGATGAATTTCTCTTCCTTCTTCTCGTGAATATCCGGGTCGACAAGTAGATAAAAAATCCGATAGAAATCACGGGCGAATCAAGTTGAAATCTTGTAGAGACCAACG